AGTGCCTTACTAGTAGTAACAAGAAGCTACTAGGAGCAAAGGGCATCGCTACTAGTAACAAGTGCCTTACTAGTAGTAACACGAAGCTAGTAGAAACAAGAATTCCCATTGGAGGCTCTCCATCACATTGGAGGCCATCGCTGACTCCAGACATGTGCTACCAGAAGAACCCGCTCGAGTCCTCGCAGCCGAAGTGGACCAAGTTGACCACCCATGCCTCAAAACGGCCCCCCGCCCTCGTCGCAAAAAGGGTTGCATCATGCAAACGGCATATACTAGCGTCCTTGCTCCTAGTAGTAAGAATGCTCCTGGTAGCGATGCCAGGAGCCCCTAGTAGCGTCCTTGCTCCTAGTAGCGATGCCCTTGTTACTAGTAGCTTCTTGTTCCTCTACTTCTGCATCATTATGACTCCACATTTATCTCTCAAGCGTTTATTCGGCAGCTTGTCACAAGGGACTTGCCACAGGAATCTAAGCAGGTTGCTCCTTGGCCTCGACCACAATGGGACCCGATTGGCTTCCACTTGGGGGCCACTCACGCTTGGTCTCCTCACACGATGGTGATCGAATCAGAATGGGCCTATTCTATCTACGTTACCATTTTGCGGTCTATCTACGTTACACCAGCCAGTGATGTCTCGGCATGAAAGAAACTTGGACATGAAAGGCTTGGAGGCAATCCGGCAAACATTGCAAGGCATGTCATCCAAGCATGAGAGTTCCCATGGCTTCTCCGTCGGACTTTCAACCTGTGGTTCTGCAGAACCCTCCCAACTTGAAGCAAAACCTCATTTCACCTCGTTCACTGTGGACTGCAAACCTAAAAAGCAGTCCTCCTGGTTTCTAGCAGGCGAGATGCCTCTCACATGTCCATCTGAGGAAACCAACGCACATGCAACCTTTGACTTGCCTTGTCATATGCCTTGATTGCTGCCCCGGTGGCTACATGACTACATGCGCCTCGATCACCTCGATCACGTCCAGCTCCAAACTGACGCCATGACCTGCCAGGAAAGGCGAGCACAGCGAGCACACATAACACCCAAATTCAAAGTTCTTCCATGTTCTTCCCGTTCACCAACAATACAGGGCGAAACACTGCTCCACGTCAGCATCAAGCTGGCGAAGTTCTTCGACCTTAGAATCGGTGCTGAACCGTAGTACATCATGGTGATGTTTGACATCGCTTCTAGGTTGGAGACCATCGCTAGTAGGTTGGAGGCCATTGCTATTAGGTGTTTCTTTCAACATGCCTTTAAAAATGCACCATCACTAAGTCGCTCATGGCCAACCACTAAGTTCTGCTACAGCCCTGGCACGAAGCTCCGGGCCTAAGGGCCACAGGCTTACCACCGATCAGGCATTCTCGAAGCAAAGAGGTCTTGCTTTGCTTCGTGCTACGAAGGCATTCCCATTGCCATGCATTCTCCTGTGGTTTTCGTCCTGAGCTGAGCCACCCATCTCCTCAAGATCATAGATGAACAGTTTGGGGTATAGTCTCTGCAACGCTCGACCTCGGGAAACTGTTGTGATGCGCTGCAAATGTGATGTGCCTCTGTACGAGGCCAATACTGAAGTCAGCGCAGTTGGTCAACAAACCATCCTTGGACGGCCACACTGGTGCATCTAGGAGCAAAGAAAGCTACTAGGAACAAGTGCATCGCTACTAGTAACAAGTGCCTTACTAGTAGTAACAAGAAGCTACTAGGAACAAGTGCCAATGCAACCCTGCAAAGCATAAGCTGAACATGCACGGCATACTTTTTCAGGCTGGGAGGGGCTGCCCAGGGGCAAACCGTCTTTGGCAACCTGAAAGGCAAGATTGTGCTCAAAAGACCGGCAGTTGATCCAGTTGAGTATAAAGCACCATAAAGCGCTGGATCAGCTGCAAGACCTCTAGAGCTGCCAGCCGTTCAACCAGAATCATCAACAGGTTGTATTTGTCTGGCAGCGTACGCAAGTCATTGCAAGTCAGGAGCCAATGTAGGCAGCGGCACGTGCACCAGATCATCTTTACGATTAGAAGTCGCCAAACAACCCCTTTTAGTTTCAAACGGACACGGCCGTTGTAATTGGGCGAAGTTCCGCGGGCCAACCTCCACGCGACCCACGAAAAGAACACACCAAGCACCAAGTACAAGAAATAGAATTTGTTTTCTTGTTCGATATATTCCTCCGCGGATTCCCTGGACCTCGCAAGAACCAGGATACAAGACTCCCCAAGCAAAGCAGCAGGAAAAAAACTTCGTAAAAGCTGCCGAGATAGTATGTCAAATGCTCGACCGCAACATCCTAGCTGCGGCTGCAACGAAGCCGATCTGAACACAATGCAAATCGATGAAGCGAGCAAACAGGTGTTGATAATATTGTACTTCAAAGAATTCATGATTAGTTTCGTGCTCTGCGACAGCCAACCAGGCTGCAAAGAAATGCCAGAGGCTACACTCAGGCCACATGCAATGACGACTAGCAGGAGTTGCCCTGGGTCGCTCCCAGAGTGTCGAAGAGTAATCCATCCCAAGCGGGAGCTTGCACCCATCCACCACACCTTCATGATAAGTGCCAGCCAGCAGCGGTTCAGCGGCACCCCAAAGAAGTCGCAATGGAAGTGCTGCCACTGCCATTCGTGCCTGTCTGCCAAATACATGTTACAGGGGTCGCAGTCGGAACAAAAGCAAGAATTGTCAGGGCACCCTGAAGTGTGCCGGCCAGAGCGCACAGTGCATGTCATGTCAACATATTGCAAAAGAATCCAGAACATGACGATAACCACAGTTGCAGCAAGCACTCCAGTGGCCAGCATCAACCACTCAGCCATTCTCAGAGGTAGACATAAAGCTTCTGCATTTGGTTTGGGCAAAAGAACCCCCGAAAAGTCGCCACGTGAATTTCTCCAAGGCCGTTGCCTTCCGCAGCGTTTTCAATTCGGCTTTGCGCCTCTTTTGAGGCATCTTCCAAGTCCTTTCCAGGATCATCCAGAGAATGGATCAGGCAATCTGCCAAGGACTGATCATCTTTCGCAAAGCGACCACGGTCACAGGCAAGGAGGATATGGAAGTCAGTTTGCGAACTCCAACGCGAACGTCGGAGCGGTGGCTGCTCGTTCCCAGTCCAAGTACCAATGCTGTGGTTATCCCGGCATGTGTCAACAACGAGCCAAACCTTAAGCTTCTGGCTTTTGGTGGAGTCAAGAGGTAACAAAAGCTGTCGGTCCAAGTCTACAAACCCATCTTCACAGTCAGGAGACTGTATATCTGAAGGTAATATAGCAGGAAGTTCGCTGCTGTGGGGATGTCTTCCATGGGCTGCGATGAAAATAACCACCAAATGATACGTAGCTCCGGTGAAGCTGGATCTTATCAGCTGCATAAACTCACTAATCTTCTGTTCCAGATCTCTTTTTGTCACTCTGTCCAACAAAAGATACAGCCTTTCGGCGGGGAGCTCCCTCCCACGCAGAAAGACTGCGAAGCGTTCAGCATCCCGTCAAGCCCCTGGAAGGTTGGAGAGGTCCCTACAGCTGTACTCCGAGATTCCAACACAAAGGGCACAAAGGATTGGACACGGTGCCATGGCTCATCAAGGCACGAAGCTGAGGGCACATGCACGGCATACTGAATTGCAATGTAAAGTGCTATGGAAAGTGCAACAGAAGTGTCCCATGCTGAATAGAACACAAACTGTCCTGCATAGCTCCCGGTGTGCACAGGCAGTACATGCACAAAGACTGAAAAACTGGTGCTGCAGCGGTTGGCTGCAAAGCAAAACGCATTGCTTTAGAGAAAGCCTTGTGAGAATGGGCGCGGGACGGGTTTGGGACAGGTCCTGGGTGCATGCTATGACGGATAGCTGTGGAGATGGTTTCACAGAATGGCAGTTATTGTGCAAAGTGTGAAAATCCACAGGGCTACTTCGCTCCTTTTTCTCCTGTGCCGTACGGCCTCGATCGATACACACATGCCACAACTGATGTGTCGCACATGGATGTCCTCACATGACTGCTACTTTTCACACACCCCGGACTGTTGCATGTGCGACTGCTTGTATTGTCTTTGTGCACGCTTGGCATTCAGCATCTCTTGTTCTTCCATGACTGCGTATGTACTTTGTTGTAGTACATGTCGAAGCAGAGTAGGTCGAACCGACAATTTCGTCATGCAGTCCACTAGCATTTGTTTGGTGTCTATCCATCTAATGTGTACTCGATGTAACTTGATGTCCCGGCGTAGTAACAAAACCTCAATGGCTTGCCGCTTGTCATGAACCATGCCGGTGTCGTTTCTGACGTGGTCATATAATGGCTTGTTGTCTGTACATGCAATGATGTCAACATCGTGTGTCAACTCTGCCTGATTGTCTAAATCATATTCCGAATTCAAAACCTCCAAGAAAAACTGTTTCATCCACACAGCTTCGGCCACACCCTTGGAAACAGTATAGAGTTCAGCAGCTAAGGTGCTACTTACAGCTCGATCCTGCTTCTGACTTTTCCACTTGAGTGGAGTCACTGGGGTGATTTTGCCACTGTGCATTGCCTTGGTGGTTGCGCAAATCATGTAGGCAGCCTGGCTCTTCAAGTCGGGCTCTGTAGCCCATGATGCATCTGCTGTCATCAATATTGCAAGTTCATTGAGTGGTATTGGTACCACCCTGATTGCTACATGTTTGAAGTCTCGTGCCTCTGCCACTGCTTTGTTTGCTTCTGCGATTTGTTCGACTGTACCATTCTGAATGTTCTGTTGTACCTTGGCTGTCATGGCTGCTAAATCAGGTCGTGTGGCTGTTGACAACCAATTGAGTCCTCCTGCAACACCACGTAGTTGACTCTTTTCTCGATCTGTAAGGGGTTGACCCTTGTCTCGGCGTCTCTCCCTTGTAATCTTGATGGTTTTGAGTTTCCCTGCATATTCTGTCTGCTCAATGGTGAAGCCCTCTGATGAACGATGTATCGTTCGACCAAGAAACTCGCCCCCGTCGGTCTTCCAGTGTTTGAAAGGGTACCTGCTTCTGAGCTTGTCAGTGATGTGTGCTTTGAACACTGCCGTGCCTGTGCAAATCAGATCATCCACGTGAACTGCCAGCGAACCCTGATACTGCTTGTTGTGCCAATAATGAAAAAGACATGGATCCAAACATGACTGAACCAAACCTGTTGCCAATAAACTGTTGGTCAGTGTATCATGCCAGGCCTTAGGTGCGTCTGCAAGTCCATATACTGCTTTTTCTGCTAGTAACAAGCTTCCTTCTGGAATTCCCGGCATCCCCCCTGGTGGAGGTTCAATGTAGAGTGCTCCTTCCTTGCGGTATAGCTGGTCACCCTGCAAAAAGGCGCCTTCCACATCTCCAATGTTCAATGTCCAGTTCATTGACGCACTCACCTGTAGAACCAAGCTCAATGCCTCGTTCGTCAATGTGGGTGCTTGTTTCTCGATTTTGTGCAGGTCTGGATCTAAATATCCACGAATGCACCATCTTGATTTCTTCTTGAACTTGCCAGGCTCTTTTTCATCTGGTTTCTCGGTAATCACAAACCGAGATGGCAGTATTCGGTGTCCTTGTCTTTGTCGGAGGAGTCGAGCTTCATGAGGTGGTATCACCTTCAATGCCTTGTACTTGAGCAGTTTGTCCACTTCTGTGCGTTTGCTCTCTTCTAACTCTACTTCTTTGTGTTTTTGCAATCCCTCCCGCATAGTGACCTCATATACCTCATGTTCTTCTTCTGGGATTGTCATGTCGAGGTTGGGCAGGTCAATCTCGAAGACCGAGTATCCCGTCCAAGTTTTCAGTTCGGGATGATGTTCAGTACGTCTCCTGTAGTCCTCATCAGTGATCACCATGTACCCGTCCACCCCATCCTGCCTGATCAGAGAGTGCCTGCATCCTGTCAGCCATTGGATTGGGATAGGACATGACTTCTCACACGGTCTGTATGGGCCCTTCTGATGAGCATGGAGCCGAATGAGCACCTTCTCTTCCCATGAAACTCGCCATTGCTTTGTGCGATCTGTCCACTCACCAAGTTCCACTTCTGTTTGAAGCACTTCGTTCATCTGTCTCTCAGCCCTGCGGCCAGTGTCCAGCCGATTGAGATCTTGTCGCATGGCCCTCGTCAGGGGTGTTTCCCGGATGGGTCCATATGTCGACGGAGTCTCTGTCATAGCCGCTGCCACTGGAACTGCTGATTCTGGCAACATCTGTGGTTCAGTATCTTCTTCTTGAGGTGCCTCTGTAGGTGTGTACTCTAGGCTTGGTGGAACATCTGTAGGCAAATCATCCTCTACCTGCATTGGCTGAGGTGCTGGAGCTGTGTAGTCCTCGTTTGAAAGGTCTTCAAGGTCCTCATTTGTTTCTTCCCGTGTCCTTTTTACTGTGAACACAGTGCAGCCTGTCCATTCACTCTGCTGTTCTCCCATGCCAACTTGTCTCCAGTCATCAAACAGTTCTCTTCTCACTGCTGTTGACCCCTGAAAGTTGATCATGGTTTTCCGTCTACTGTTGATGCGGTCAATCTCAACAGGTGATTGGTCTGCAGCCGTGGGAACATATAAATGAGTCCTTGCTTGTGCGTGTATTCTCTTCAGCAGAATCCCGTTGAGTTCCCAGTAGTCTTGTCCACTCTCAGCTTCCTCGGTTGGTGGCTTCTGTTCAGCAGAGACGTCGTGAAAGGTGGCTACACCCTTCTTTGACACGACATGGGACCAATCTATCAGCTCCTGAGGGATGAGCCTGAGAGCTGCTTCGTCTTCGTATCGAAGTCGTCTCAACTGTTCAGGAGAACATTTCAGAACCTTCGTGCCGAAAGAAACCCAAATTTTGTCATGACCACATGACCCGATCACCGTACCAGGTCCCCTCCAAAACCACGGAACCGACCCTCCTTCACCAGATCTTTTACCTGGCCTCCAAACATAAACCTTACAACCTGGATGAAAAGGACCTCTCTCTGGCCGAGTGCGTCGTTCCACGGCTCGTCGAACCCGATCCTCGCTATCGGCGTCGATGAAAGCTTTCCTTGCTTCTTGTCGCATCTGCACAGATCGAACATAGGACGTGTCCCCCGCCAGATACCCACTGTTCACCCCCACATGCATGGACTCTTCACCTCCATAAACCATACCCGGAATCCTAGCCTGTTGTCCAAAAACTCTTTGGTGGGGAGAATGACCGTCATGGTTGAGTAAAGCGTTCTTCGCGTTCGTGACCTGTTGAACAATCTCCTCAACCTGTTCCCTATCACCGGGGGGAAAGACCGAGGCAACCTTCATGAACATGCTCTTCCACGTTCCGCCATGTCTTTCACAGAATCCGTTTTGCCATGGCGAGTACCCTGCGCTTCGTTCGTCCGCCGTTCCGTCGTGCCACAACCCGTCCTGAAAACACCCGGCGAATTCCGATCCGTTGTCGGCAAACAATCGTTTGGGGCCTCCAAAAACATTCTTCCAGTATCTCCGATACGCCTTCCTGGTTTCTTCGGCGTTTCGTCCTGCCCACAGGGGAATCACGAGGTGAAAAGCAGTGCCCTCACATATGATCGACAAGAAGGGAATCTTCTTGCCCATGACTTCCACCTCAAAAGTATCACAACAGACCCCCGCATTGAACTCATACGTCCTACGAACCTTGCTCACTTTGGGGTTTTTGAGGCCTTGATGGGACTCACAGATGGGACACTTATATTCCTTCGCGTAACGCAACGCCGATTCGGACGCGCCCGCTTGTTTCAACATCATACAAAAACGCTCTTTGTTGGGGTGACCCAGATTCTGATGCGCCCTCCGAACACTCTCCCTCACATGAGTTTCCCCCTCATGAGTTCCCTTCACCGCATCGACGGCCAACACATCACTCGCGTCGGAGTGTTCCCGAGTCCGTCGTTTCTGGAGTTCAACGCATTCGCACACGGTGTTACAAAAACTAGTCCGATACTCCTGCGCAAGTCGAGTCCGGTTCACCCAGTGTCCGTCATGTTTCACCTGTCCCTCGCAAACCTGATGCTCATGTCGTTTGTCACAGCGTTTGTTCAAGAGTCCCATGATGTCCTGATCCATGTTACCGATTAGTCGAGTACCCTTCTTGATGGCCAGTCCTGACTGCACATCGCACATGCCAAACATGCACATGTCCAAAAGAATCTCCAAAACCCTCGAATCATCACGAAGATTTCTCAGGGGATCACAGTTCCATGACCTAGCATGCTCCGGATGTTCGAACAGGAAAAACCTCCCGTTCTTCAGCTGCAGTCGACACACCTCCACCCCGAACAAGAGCAGAGTCAGGGCCTTCCTTCGTTCTTCTTTCTCTTTCGTGGGATCCTCACACGGACGCCGGATGGTAGAAAAATAAGTGCAAGGAGGACAAACCACACACAAAAAAGGTTTGGTATCGCTGATTTCCCGAAACACTCGGTTGCGGTGTTCCGGCAACAACAAATCATCACCCAACTGCAAATCATAACATGGTCCGGCGTGGAGTCCGTGCAAATATCCCATCTGAGAAACTCGGGGGATTGAGAAAACCTCACAAATGTCCACTCCATCCCACCGTGCTTTCTGCGTGCTCTTTTGCCATGAGGCGTAGCAATCGAAGTCTTCAAGTGCCTCCACGATCCTACGCAACTTCCGGCGTGTCTTCCGGTTCATACT